ATGGAGGCGCGCGTGTTCGCCCTCGTCGGCAGCACCCAAGGCGTGCTTCGCAGGCTGACGACGACGCACTACGCCGCCGCGGCCGGGGAGGAAACGGGGCGTCGTCTGCTCCGCTCGTTTTTGACGACCACCGGGGGGATTTTACGGCAACTTCGCGGGCTTTCACGTCGTCGTGGCGGGGGCGGGGGCGGGGGGTGGATTTCCCCCGCCCAGGCGACGGTGCACCTCCGCGCGAGCGGCGTCGCCGGGGGCTGCGCGGCGGCGATGCGGGCGCTCCTGCCGACGCCGTACCCCCCGTTGCGGGCGATTTTCCACCTCGCCCTCCTCCTCCCCGCGGAGGAGTCGCCGTGGGTGGGGGTGGCAACCCGCGGCGCCGACGGCCCGCCCACCCTCATGCGCGTCGAGGAGTGGTGCCTTCACGCCCTCCTCGCTCGCGCACCGGGGAAGGGAGGACGCGAGCGGACGAAGGGGCATCGCCCAAGGGAAGGGAAAAAGGAGGAAAAAGAGGAAAAGGAGGAAGAGGAGGCCCCCCACGGCGGCGAGGACTTCGCGCCCTCGGCGCGCATCGCGGTGGTGTGGCGTTGCATGACCGCCACCGCCGCGACGCCGTCGCCGGGGCGGTTTTCCGTTTCGTCGACGCCGTCGGTCGGGTTGGGGGGGATTGGGGGGGATCGCAGCGCCCTGCGGGTGCCCTACGGCCTCGGGAAGGCCTACACGCAGCGGCTGATTCGCGATTTAGTCAACGACGACGACGCCACGACCGGCGCCGGGGGGGTTCGCCACGCCCCGCTCAAAACCCGCCGGCTGTTGGCTTCACCGCTTCAGGCGCGTCATCTGGCGACGCTTTGCGCGGCGATTCTCTTTTTTGAAGTTTACACCCACGAGGCGTTGAGGCTGCTCGTGGAGGCCGCCCCGCGCTGCGTGGAGGCGGTGGAGTGGTTGAGCGGGCGGGAGATCAGCTGCCTGCTCCTCGCCTACGCGAGGCTGCGCTACGACGGCGACCTTGACGGGCCTTCCAAACACGACGCCAACTCCACCAACGAGGAAACGAAAGATCCAGCAGATGGGGGGAGAAATTTCTACCTCGTCCTTGGAACCCGCGCGGGGCAGATCGCGGATTGCCTCAGCGAGGCCGATGCCGCGCGGGTTCTGCGCGCGTTCGAGCTGATCGGCCTTCCCCATGAGGATCTCCGAGCCACCCTGGAGTCGAGCCTGCGGATGCGCTCGTTGGATCGTAAAATACGGTATAACACTGAATAGCAGGGGGGGGAGGGAAGAGGAAGAAGCACGGATTATGGGAGGAAACCTCGATGTAGGAAGCGCGGGCTGAGATGGGGCGAACTCCCTGAAGGGAAGAAGCGGGGTTGGGCGCGCTTTTCTTCTTGATGTTAAGTATGAGTCTATCTTCACGATGTGTGCATCCTCTACGCGCATGACCCTCACCTAGGGATGGAACCTTATTCTTGTCTTTTCCAATCTTCTCGTTTTGGCTTAGCCTTTTTTTTCTTTTTAGCAATTTTCGCATAGCGAAGAGGGGTGGCCACTCTTCTTTTGTGTTTTTCTTTTTTTTTTAAAAAAAGAAAAACCGTCGAATCCCACCACCACCAACTCGTCGTCGTGGTATCCAATCCCCTCTCCCCTCCCCCTCATCCAAAAAAAAAAAAAACCTAAACCGACCACAACCTCTCCGTTTTAACCCCTTAAGCGATGCGTGGCGGGTCGTACCCGCGTCGGGATGGCCGCCAGGGGCTGGAGATGCGCGCGAAGGAGCTCCGCCTCGCCGAGCTCACCCACTTCGACGGCAGTAGCTGGTACGCGCAGGGCCGGAGCAGCGCCCTGGTCGCGATCCACGGCCCCACAACCGCGAAGCCGCTTGAGCAGGATCCCGCGCGCTGCCGCCTCCGCGTGCGCGTCCTCCACGCCGCGAGCGCGCCGACTTCCGGGGGCAGCGGGCGACTCCTCCAACGCGAGCGCGCGCGGATCCAGGCGCACCAAATCGACGCGCACGAACTCGCCGGGGTGGTCGAGCGCGCGCTCGACGCGGTGTTCCTCGCGGAGCGCTTCCCTTACACGGTGCTGGCGGTGGATGTGGTGGTGATGGGGGTCGATGGCGGGCTGCTCGCCGTCGTCCTCAACGCGGTGATGTGCGCGCTGCTCAGCGCGGGGGTGCCCTGCCGGACGACGATGGCCGCCGTCGCCGTCGCCGCCCTCCGATCCACCCCCGCCGCGGACGAATCGGAAGCCGAGCCCGAACCCGAAAAGGAAAACGAAAACGCCGAGGCGAAAAACGAACCCCCAAAGGACGCGGAAACGCGCCACGAGGAGGCGGGGGAGCCCGCGAAGAAACGGCGGAAAACCAAGCCGACCGCGCCGGCCTTGGAGCTGCTTTTGGATCCGACCGCCGAGGAGGAGGGGCTTCGCGTGCAG